GGTCTTTGATCTTCATCAGTAAGTGCTTCAAGTCCTCTTCACTTTCAGCAAAAAAGGTTGTGTCATCTGTGTATCACATATTGCTGATGAGCCTTCCTCCAATCCTGATGTTGAGTTCTTCTTCATATAATCTAGTTTCTCAGGTTATTTGCTCAGCATACAGATGGGTTAAGTATGCTGAAAGGATACAACAATACACAATACACAGTAGTCTCGCTCTATTACTCCATCTGTTTCCCACGTGAAGTAGATAACAGTCTTTCTAAGATCGTGTCAAGGAGTCTCAAAGGCTCTATGTGCAGATTTTCCCATGGTCTTGGCACTGGAAATCTTCTTGGTTTTGACAATGATCCTGCAATGATGTGGATTAACTGATTTCCTGCACATGACCCCACAATTAACTTTCATCATCTGTGGAAACCCATGTACGATAACAGAATACTGGAATAGCAAGAGTTCTTAGGGAACAACCCAGACTTCCTCGTTTTATAGATGAGGAGATGGAGACACAAAAAAATGTAAGATCCTTTCTCCAAGACACACAGCTGGTCAATGACAGAGCCAGACTTCTTGTCCCCAGTCTCCTGATTTCCTAATCTAGTGTTCACTCATCTATTACACTTATCACATCTCTACAAGGTCCATAGATGGAAACTCCATGAACTCTGGTAACCTGATACCATGCGATAGCAGCTTGCTCTCGGACAAATATTAACCATGTCTGGCATCAATAACATTATGTGATGCAGAAAATAATTCAATTTGTTTGCGCGTGCTCCTGGCTGCAGAAGGACTGTTTCATGCATGAGTTTTCCTCGGAAGCTTTCCCAATTTCCCAACACCTTGTCAGCAATTCTACCAGTTCCTTTGTATCCAGCCAAGAAATGATTCTTCTAAAACTTTTTACTATTGAAAGTTTTCAAATAGCATATAAATATATTCATATTTTATTTATATAAATAAGTATTTACATAAATATTCAGGGCTTTGAACCAGTTCTTTCCGGTTCAACCCACTGCTGAGAATTTGCATTTCCACCCCAGATATATCTGTCCTTAATATCATCAAATGTGCATTTAGTGTTCAAAGTTTCAAATAATTAATAAGTGTCCTAATTTTTTTACAGTTTGCTTGAAGCAAGATCCAAATAATCTTGAGGTTAATAGATATTTTGTTGTTGTTATTGTTAGGTGCGGTTGAGTTGGTTCCAACTGATATTGACCCTATGTACAACAGAACAAAATACTGCCTGGTCCTGTGCCGCCCTCACAATCATTGCTATGCTTGAGCCCATTGTTGCACCCACAGTGTCAATCTATCTCGTTGAGGGTCTTCTTCTTTTTCAATGGCCCTCTCTGTTACCAAGCATAATGTCCTTCTCCAGGAACTGATCCCTCCTG